AGAGAGAGAGAGAGAGAGAGAGAGAGAGAGAGAGAGAGAGAGAGAGATTAAGTCAATTTGGAAAAAAAAAAAGTTGAACTCTGAAAAAATCCGCTTGGTTGAAGCTTACTTTCAAATCAAATACGCATTATGTCTGAGTCCTCCTCATATTCATGATCTTAAAGCCAAACTGAAATTATTCACCTGCAGCCAACCAAAAATCGCACCATCATATGAATCATTTATCACGTGTAGATTGTGCGCTCATTTGTCAATTTGAATTCAAAACAAGCGCTTCACTCAACAATGTCAAACCTATATTTGCAAAATAATAGCCAGCTAAACTATATTTTTGCCTTGGTGAATGCACTTTTTGCTTCTGAACCGCAGCATACAGCATCGGCACATAAAGGCAACTGATGTCCCCTTCATTTTCACAGTCAATTGATTGTGAACTGTCATCTGCTTTGCGCAACCAATGTTTGTTTTTAATAGATATGTTCTGTTTTCTTCAGAAAAATTGTTTTCCTCTGATTTATTCACTGTTTGTTTGCCCACTGTTACAAGGTCAACACTATCATCCAATTTAGAATTACTTTTGAAAAACAAAATGACTCATTGAAATTCAATTCTCATGATTTATTTTCCAAAGTCAAGAAGAGCCACAGCAGATGGATGAAGAGCTGCATGTGCGGTTCTGGAACTGTGTGTTGCAAATCCCTGCTCTAAATTGTCAAGAGGCATCAATGCGTTTACTGTTAATGATTGTGTGTCTACTGTATGTGCCCTGTGATTGTGTTGCAACCAGTCCAGTGTGTAAGCCTGCCTCTCGCCCTGACTCAGCTGGGTTAGCCTGCAGCTCATCATTGACTCTAACGAGGACAAGTGTTATCGATAATGCATTGATAAATCCTCAAGGACTGTCTTGAAAGCTCCCGACTAAATGCATTTATGTAGAAACTGTAGGGCCTCCTCCTTTTTTTTTTTTTTGGTTTAGTTTTTGTTTCAAGTGACAGCTGCACCAAACTGATACTATATCAGCCCGCATTTCACGGTACGGCAAAGCAAACACATGTTCAGAACACCTCTTACCACACTTGTCTCAGTTGTTCATTTTAACGTGAGAGGTGTTAGATGTTCAGTTTTTTTTTCTTTTTTTGTTGTGGTTTTGTTTTTGGATGGTTGAAAAAGTACTTCATTGAATTCAGTCATGTTAGTGTCTGGCACCCTCATCCTTGATATGCAAACAAGCATGCACCCGCAAAGGTCAGTGATTAAATTGATTGGATGCAGATGACAGGTAGCATCTGGCTTACCTGTGCATAGAAAGCTCACTCTAGTTGTGGTATGCACAAACCAAATCCCCAGTCGACACAATCCACTAAATGTTGTCTGCCACGATATTGATGTTCTACTTCTGGTGTTGAAAAGACAGACAAAAAGAAAGTCTTTCAAAGGGTGCCCAACATACACAAAGTAACAGGATTCTAACAATGAGACTCGAACGAACGTATCTGGGGGAATGTTTAATCTTGGCAGCAGTGACAAGCATGTAATTATCTTTGAGCATTAAAGAAGGGACAAACAAAGCTCTTCAACACAACAGGAGCGGCCGTTGCTTGTAATATTACCTTATGATAATGTGCCAGTGTATTCAAGAGAGAGCCACAAGCATAAGTGGCATCAGTTAATTTGAAATGCAACAGGATTTACCACAGGAGCAGATCAAAAACATCTCATCCTACTTGTACAAAAACTGTTTTGGTCATCAGAAATGCACTTCAAGCTTTTACCACACTTCTTCATTTTTGAGATATTGAAGGAACGGCCTGTTGGGTGTGAAGAAGTGAGCATCAGTCGAATTGTGCCTCCCGATCACAGAGCGGAATCAAAGAACCTTAATTGTAAATCATGTGCAGTGGTGGGAAGTAATGAAGTACAAATACTTTGGTAGATTTTTCATCTTTACTTTTTTATTCTTCCTATGTTTACCAGGATCCGGTGTTCAAAATTCTCCGCCTTATATAAGGTTTCATTTGTTTCATGAGCTAATTTACCATCTTTTTGATTGTAAGTTCACATTATCAAAGCCGGGAACATGTTTTGATAGCATCAAAGCCTGAATTAATAAAAGGGATCCCATCGTATTTCATCCCTTCTGATTGCCAGAGACACAATGCTTCAAGCTCTGGATGATCACTAGTCTAACGCATGCTCAGGTCGAGATTTGAATAACAACAAAGTCATGCGACACTTTTACATATGCTCAGGCTTAGCATATGTAAACGTGTGTCACCGGGAGTCTTTATTCTTCACATGCTTTGGTATGTGCTAGTGGAGTTTGCAGCTTTAGTCCACAACTCGTTCTATTTCCTGCTGCTTATTGCGTTTCACCTCGTGACCTGTGATTCAGAACATAGTTGGTCGGGGTAGCGAGCCTATCTCGCCCCCCAGGGGCTGCATGAGCTGCACTTGTTTATTTTTGAAATCTACCTGGATTGCCAGTCAGCCCGGTTGGTCCCTGGTGAACTGTAAGTCCTGTTGTCCGTTACATCAGGTAAGACATTTTTCTCATTTTTTCTCACTTTGGCCACTTTGGCTCAGCAGTGATTTCGCGACACATTATGTCATTTGCTTTGTGTTTCATCATACTTCAAAGCTACCACAGAGGAGTTGACTGTGTTGGGGGCTTTGACTGAGCCAGACAATGTATGGAATACAATTGCTATTCATCGTCGTTTACGTTTATCGGTGGAGCGTTTGGCTCATCTGGGGCCTTTACTTTACCTGTACATTTTTGGTCCTCCGGTGTCCGGTGGCCAACAGTGGTCTTTTCGGTTTGGTGATTCGATCATGAGTGGTGTGTCCTGCTCAACATGGTCAGTGGCTGCGGTATTGGCCGGATCAGTAAGTGGCATACCATGCTCATCCTGAATCGACAAGTTCGATTAGTACTTCTATCAGTACACCCCACACTTCTATTTTAGTTGAAAGTTCTTTTGCTATGTTGTGTGTGTGTGTGTGTGTGTGTGGGGGGGGGGGGGGTTAGATCTACAGCTCCATTGTGTGACACTACTAATAAGCTTTTCAATGATTTATGCATAACCCTAACCTTATTAAGTTTAGATACCAGTGACAGATGCTGGATAGAGCAAGAGACAAACCTGAGCTCTTCTTAAACGTGCAAGTGGAAAAGCCGCCATCTGCAGGCCATGGTGTCTCCTCAATCATCACTTAAAGCAGGAGCTGTTTAGTTGCCATGTGTAATCTACAGCGTGGGAAAAAAAGCACAACAAAGTGACTGGAGGCCAAACAACCTTTTGTTTCAATTTGTTTAATGTGGCATAAAAAGGGAACCCCAACCCAGAAGTGGTTGCCATTACAAAATTGTTAATTCAAAACAATTGGAATATTAGAAAATACACAATAAGGATGGACTTTACTGAACTGATACTTTAAAATCATGGTCGAACAGCACCGTGTGATACGTGGGACATTTGTTCAATCGAAAAAAGGGTAACAAGCGATGTCTTGATAACATCCCATTTATAAATGCTATCAAATGTTTATTGAGCAGACAAGATACTTTGCCTGTGGACAGTCAAAATACACTTTACAACTACTCATCTATGTTGATGTGCACACGAGATAGTACAGGTGCAACACAAAATAGTTGCACGTGACGTGTACATTTGCGAGACACTTTCGTAGGAAATAACAGGCTGAAATAAATAATTTGGTGACAGGAATCTGGATCATTGGTCTGGCCGTTTCGGATACCTCCGACAAGCATGGTGCATGTCTGAGAGGTACAGTATATGAGACGCAGGGCCACCTGTAGGCTGGTAATCTGAAATGCGTTGGTTTGTCTTTCTGCGTTTTACTCTCAGTTCTTTTTCTTGATTCCAGAGTTGCGATTGTTGTTGAACAGGCTGAGCCCTGATCTGCCGTTTCCATTGCCCACTCCGCTGACTGTGACTCCGGGCTGCTGAAGCACTTTGTCCAGCGTGGTCTTCTTAATGGCTGCTGGAGAGATGCGCTCTTGATCAGCCAGAAACTGTAGCTCACTGGAGGAACAATGAGAAAGCTCACGATCAAACTCTTATTCAAACTTTAAAGTTGCCATTTAAAGAAGGAATCCTCAAGAGAAAGCTCCTGAAATACATACATTTTGTCTGGATAGTAACTATAGTTATGAATGAGCAAGACAAATGCTGTAGGACTGTTTTTTTTTTGAAAGATTGAATGTCATTATAAATGGACAGATCATCAGAAGTATATTTTATCCATCAATCTATACATCCAGTATTATGGGGGACGAACCCTGCCACGAGTAGCGCAAATCCGCGAGTAGATATATAGATACAACAAGAGATGTGCTAAAGCACTACCTTTCAACTGGAAGGGGGCTTGAACTTGGCTAATAGAAGCTCCTCATCTCATTTCAACTTAGCTCCTTGGCACCAAAAGGCCACAAGATGGTGTCAAAGTGTGGTTTGCAATTACAGTAGTCAAGGCTTTGGCACCATCTTGTAGCATCTTAGGCCATTTTAGGAACAGAAAAAAAAAGAGCAAACAGCTGAGTTAGTGCGAATATTAGAGGATACGTAAAAAAAAAAAACAACCCATCAGAACAGTGAGTTACAAATAGGTATAGTAACACTGATATGCATAAATATATCGTCACTGTCCGGCGAAAACCTCATTTGTGCAAATATGATCAGTTTCATATTCTTTCAGAAATTGATACTGTTGGTCTTTCCCGAGGTGATCTGCGACACATTATTAACCAATTTAAAGTGTTGAAAATAGATTGAGAAAATCACACAACAACGGTAAACTGTCTGAGATGTGTCGTAAAACTCTGCCTCTTCCCTCCCTTCGAGGGAGTCGTGCGGCATTATGCTGCCCCAAGATTGAAAGTCTGAATGTTTCTTTTCAAAAACAAGTGAAAAATAGTCAGGTTACGTTTCAGTAAGCCTGTCTTGTTAAACATGGACTGCTGTAATCGTTCGGTGCAAATGGAACTGGTCGGCCACAAACAGCAGTGCATGCATATTAATTTCTGGCTAATAAACCGCTAAAATAACAATACAATAAACGTGGGTCAATTTACTGGTTTTGTCATTGTATCAGTCATGGCTCTAAAACCTTAGAGAAAGAGTTCAGGAAGCTGATGTGATCACAGTTGTTGGTTTTATAACATATTAGGGCTTGTCTGGTTAGGGGTTAGTGTGAGTGCGGACATTGATGTGGACGACTGGCGCGGGCGGTGTTTTACCATTTTAATCAGTGACACACCGAATAATACCAACTAGAATGATGCGGTGCAAGATGCCTCTTTGTTTAAACTTCCTGAAAGGATTGGTGATGAAGTGGGATTCAGCTCAACAGTGACGATAAGTAAATGTGAGTATGTGCGCACATTATTTACACTTAGGTACATCCTTTTTTTTTTTTTTTTTTAAATGGAATATATAAACTGTCAAAAAATACTGGTTATGTAGAATAGCCTCTCAGGCAGAAAATTCGCAGATATCCATTTTGGAACAGATTTGACTCTGCCGGTCCAGTCACCTTACCGTGTCCTAATACAAGAGGCCTCCACTGCATTGATCAGAAGACTGCGGAAGCCCCCACTCTCCATAACATGGAGGGCGTGAATGGTGGCGCCACCTGGTGAGCACACATTGTCCTTCAGCTGGCCAGGGTGCTGCTCAGAGTCCAGCAGCATCTTAGCTGCACCCTGAAGAACAAAAATGAATAGGGAGGAGTTTCTTCCAACTGAGGATTAAAAAAAAAAAAACACTACTGCAGAGTTATACATTTGTTTACGGTCCAGTGATAAAAGACAAATATTGTGGTCAATGCATGAAATGACATTCATCATTTAAATTTTAGATTAGTTTAATTAAAAAAGAGGGAGAGAGAACTGGCGGCCCGGTGGTCGACTGGTTAGTGTGTCGACCTCACAGTGCAGAGGCTGAGGGTTCGATCCTGGCTCTGGCCTTCCTGTGTGGAGTTTGCATGTTCTCCCCGGGCCTGCGTGGGTTTTCTCTGGGTAATCTGGTTTCCTCCCACAGAGCAAAAACATGCATGGCAGGGTGATTGAATACTCTAAATTGTCCCTCGGTGTGAGCGTGGACGGTTCTTCACCGTCTCTGTGTGCCCTGCGATTGGCTGGCAACCAGTTCAGGGTGTCCCCCGCCTACTGCCCGAAGACGGTATGTTCTTAAATTTAAAATATAATTCAGGAATACTAAGACTTGGGAAAATTGAAAGCCAAGATGTAAGAATATTCTCTGCCTGTGTGCAGACTGCCATTGGATCAAACAGAATAAAATGTGGAAAAAACCCCGCAAATGTCTGAAGACCACTGACCAATAAGGCCTGAGCTCCAAGTCGGACAGCGAGTCTCCTGGGCAGACCCATCTTGACTCCTCCATCCGCTAGTGCATCCAGCGCTGTGAACGCCTGTTTATACACAAACATACCATCGTATTATCAGTCGTCATAAAATCCTCTGCAGTTCTTTGTGCGATATTGGTACAAGGGTGGTGTCTGCTGCCTTTTGTCATTAGATTCTGCTGCAGATTAACACATGCTGCAGATGAAGCTGTGACGCCCCATGCACACGGTGAAAGCAGCAATGTGGCTGTGTCCAAATTTACAAGCTGCATCCTCCGAAGCCCGCATTTTCGGCTGCATTTTTCAGGGGTATGACGTCACTTCTGGCGCGACTCGATTGCATGTGGATTCCAAATACTAGAAAGACAATTTGCAGGCTGGGTCCTTCGACGCCTTTAAAGGCGCCTCCTCGTGTAGTCTCTGTGGACCGCATTAACGGTGATGAATTTGGACACCACGTGCGGTCGAGTCACACCGGAAGTGACGTCATGCTGCCGAAAATGCAGCCTTCGGACGACCCAGCCTGGGAATTTGGACACAGCCATCTTGGTGACATTTTCTAAATATGGGATAAGCACTTAAAATGCCTCCAATATCCTCCATAGCAAATATATTCACGAAAAAAGCTGATTAAAGGTGAAGAGCTATTCAGCTGGCCACGGTGAATAATGTTCAATTTAAGTTTTTCCCCTTTCCACGTGATTCAGTTATAAATGTTACTGCAATTTTGAGGGCTGGCTGACCTACCTGGAGAACATCTTGGCTTTCAATATTTAACTGAAACTGACATTGTCAGCTAGTCAAATAACAGGTTCCCCGAGTAGCAGACAAAACGAAAGGATCGATTGTAGCTGTAGACATCCGTGCAATGTCGTTCGACTGCAGAAAATGTGGCCTTTCAGTTACGATCGTCGACATTATACAATACCTTGTCACTTTGTATTAGTTGAACTTCATTTTCAAGTCCAAGAAGATGTAAAAAGGCATGGACTGATTAATTTTGCTTTAGATTTAAGCCGGAAATGTTGTAGTATATAAGCAATATAATGACTGAAGTTACTGGCAAAACATGATTTATGCATTGATACCGTTTAACAAATTATTTTACTGTGCCATTTGATGCAATGACTTTCAAAATAAAAAAACAGT